ATCTATAGGGAACATTATAGTTCCGTAAAGCTTTGGTTAGTTGTGCAAGTTTCTTTCGATTGACTTCAGTTTGTTGTGATATGTCTGTGTATAGAGAGATCCTGGCAAACTCATCTGAGGTTACTGGGTTTTGTTTGGCGGCCATCATGATTCGATCTTTGACATGGAAATAATGGATCCTTGCCAAGGTATCTCTAGCTGCTGTAGCCGGAAGGAATATAGGCTTAGGGATACAATGCGCTCTGTCAATACATAGTTCAATGTCGCTCAGAGTAGGGATTAAAGCTTTCATAAGGTGCTGGATATGCTGTATGTGGTTAACTCAAGAGGTGCGACTGATTCTATAATGCTTCTAAACTTTATGTTGTTGCATCTTGAGCGGTCTTTCAAATCAGCGATCTTGTTATGTAATTGTTGAATCTCAGACTCTTGATCAGCATATGCATCCATTAAATCGTTATGGGCTGAACAGAGGTCTGCCATTTTAGATTCCATATGATTTATCTTGTCTTCATGGGATTGTACAGTAGCAAACATATCTGAAAAATCTGCCAAGAGGGATCTTTTCATAGAGAATAACACATTCCTTCTGTGTCCCGCTGCAGAGTAGAAGTCAGTGAGGTGTGGAGGCTGTTTGGACTGTTTCCTCTGCTTGGACATAGTGCAGGTGCAGTTCAGAGAAGCAGAGGAAGTAGAAACGGGTGAAAGTAATCTCCCGTAGTCGCTGCAATAGCCGTTGTGAGAAGGGAGACATCTTTCCTGCCGGCCAGACATGCCCCCCCAAAAAAGTATTCTATGAGTATGGAAACAAATCAGGAAAACGTATGGTGAGAGCATTACAATCTAAAAAGGCAGCCGTGACAGCACACTCCTTAATTAATTCTACAGGTGACACTGGTTTCAAATGAGGAAATTGCAAAACAATTTGTGAACTATTATTCTAAAATGTACACTCTTTCCTCCTCAAAGCAATCTTTGGGTGACACAATTAGGCACGGAACCATCACTGACTTTTTATGACAATACAGCCCTAAGCCTATAATGACCAATTAGGCCGCACATCTTAAATGCCCTCTTTCATTGGAAAAGGTGACTGTAGCTCTTAAACAGTTGAAGACAGGAAAGAGCCCTGGACCAGATGGCCTTACCGTGAGCTACTACAAAACTTTTGCGGACACCCTCCTACCCAGGTTCTGCTTTCAATCATTTATCCTCCCCCGCCCCCTCTTCCCAGAAATTACTATAAGCACACATAATGGTGATCCCCAAGCGAGGCAAAGACCCCGTCTTCGTCGCTAAGTAAAGACCAATTTCATTCTTGAACGTAGACCTCAAATTATTCGCAAAAATACTGCCATTACTGCTGAAACTTATCAATCTTGACCAAGTTGGGAGAGGCGATAATACTTTAAAGTCCATAAACATACACCACTGTCTCACCTCCTCTCACCACCTAGGCTTCTTTATTACTTTGAATGCAGAGAAGGCTTTTGACAGAGTGGCATGGGATTACATGACTGCGGTGCTCAAGGCACTTGGAATACAGGATCACATGCTTTGCTTTATCTTGCCTTTATGTTTGAATCCCACAACAAAAGTCTGAGTTAACGGTCACCTGCCGGATGCCTTCTCTATATTCAATGGAACTCAGCAGGGCTGCCCCCTATCTCCTTTAATGTTTGTCCTAATATTGGAACCATTACATTGTCAGCTCAGGGCGAACCCAGATATCAAAAATTATATACGGTATCCCCTTCAATAATGTTATACAAAAAATCCCAAAACGCATTGAAACACTTTCACCCCAAAAAGTGTAGTAATCTGTGAAGAATAATATGCTTACTAACAAAATCAATCGAACCCAGATATCAAAGGGGTCACTATCTCAAGCCACACCCACAAAAACTCTGTCTTAGCAGACAATATCCTCTTATTTCTAACGGAACCTCATAAAAACCATTCCCAACCTACTTAAAGATGTTGCATTGTATAATTCCTTTAATGAATTTACAAATCCCAAACTCTGAGCATGACCCTATGACAAGATATTATCTCGCAATGTCAAACCAACTTCCCTTTTGGATGGCAACGTAATGCGATATAGGTCCCTACAAGGCTCTCAGACCTATATGCCCTAATTTACTTACCAATACTTAAAAAAATCCTTAACACCCCCCCCCCCCCTTTTCCCACTTCTCATCCTCTTGCTCCTCCCTTGCTCTCCTCCCTTCCTTCCTTTCCTTTTCAACCTATTGATGTCACCACTCATAATCAGCAGACAAGAAAGATTAATTTTACTCTTTTCCCTTACCATCTACCAGGGGCAGACTGACCATTTGGAAACTCGGGCACTGCCCGAGGGCCCCGGGTCAGTAGGGGGCCCCATGAGATGCCCCTGGTACCTTTTTCATAGGTTTTTTTGAGTTTGGGCAAGGACACAGGGGCCCCATGATCCCCTATTGCCCAGGGGCCCCATGAGTTTTCAGTCCGCCCCTGCCATCTACCATGTTATCACCTTGAGTTGGGTACATCCCCGTGCTTATGACCTGGCACATACTAGAGAGACCCATACCTCATCGATATCTTCTCTAACAGGTTACTTCTCCAGGTTAGGAGTTTGCACTTTTTGGTTGTTTCTAGTTAATGTTACTTTGTGGTAAGCTATGAGGTTTTCTAACAAATTCAGCTTACTCTAATGTACTGATTGTAATGAGGGGAGAGAGAGTGATTCACGGTTGCCTCCACCATATTTCTTTGGTTGGTGAACTGATCTTCCCCATATTCTATATCATATGGGAAATGTTTGATACCATTTGACTGATTGAGCACTGATTATGTCACTGTTTGCTGACTTCTATGTATTTATCCTTTCAAAACTTGAATACATTTCTTGAAAATAACACAAGAATATGAGAGACCAGATAATAGTAAACCTTTAACCCTTGTTGAATTATCTTTGAAAATTCCCTTGGCCATGCTGATCAGCTGAATGAGAGAGAAAAATGAACTGTCCATGTAGGGGAAGAATGGGATTCTGAGTTTGTGAGAAAATTGCTTTCTGACACTAGAAGCCAACACCATACTATTAAAAGCATTAAGTCCAATAAGCCTCACACAGCTTGTATGGGGTCTGTCCTGGGTGTTTCTTGCATATATCTCTGTTCCCTATAAGTGATGGAGGCAACCAGTGGAGAGGCTTACAACACATGGACCATTGGTTTTAAAGCATATGTGGCTGACTGTGTACAAACTTATTACCCTCTGCATATCTTTCACTCTCTCCGATGAAGAATTAATAAATTGAAATACAGTATGTTGGATTATCCACATGGCTGTCATTATCTGTTGTTACTATCAAGGTTTTGTGGACCATAGAGTGTTGAAACAAATGTAACCATATGAGGGTCTAGTACTTTCCTTCAGTCTTGAATTTTTATGCAATAATTTTATTGACGTTTGTTTAATAATCTTTGATGAATTTATGTAATATGTGGTATGAAAACCTAGCATGTTTCCCTAGAGTAGACACTACCAGCCAAGAACACTGCTAACTCTTTTTCTTGGTATAAGCATCTGCTGTTACTGTTAGTACACTTTTTTTTTTTTTTTAGAAATTGCACAGCTACCGATTCTTTGGCACAACTCCTATCCCTAAAAAGTGGGGCAGTATTCTCAGTACATTAAGTTATTATTTACAGGTATGTACAGTATATCCTTACTGGATGGATAAAGATGGAATATCAGACACACAACCCAAAACACATTGGTAAACAAGGCCAATAACACCATAGAACTGACAGAAACAACTCTTAATGTCTGTTGAACATGCAACCCTGTGTAGCACTGTTACCGCACTTTCAGCACCTGTTAATATTTATGTGATCTCAATCAACATCCCATCATTTATCATCCACCTATTAATCTCTAGACATTTACTGCCCTTCATTCATTTTATCTATCATCTGAGCCCCTTCTCAATCCAACGATGTGCACTGAAGTCTCGACTATCCAGGGGCACCCTCTCCTCATTTGGCTGAGACAGCAGCAGGATCCATTGGCTCCCACTGCTGTCAATTACAGCCATTAAGCCAATGAAAAGAGAGGGGGGGAGGTGCCGAGCATGGCTCCGTGTGTGAATGGACACACGGGAGTAGTGGCTGGAGAGTGCGCATGTTTGGGTGCCCCACAACAAGCTGCTTGCTGTGGAAGAACCCTACAGGAGGGAGGGGCCAGGAGCGCTGGCAGGGGGACCTAAGAAGAGGAGGATCCAGGATGATCTGTGCAAAACCACTGCACTGAGCAGGTAAGTATGACATGTTTGTTGTTTTTTTTTAAATGTAAGCCTTTAGAGTCATTTAAATTTAACACATGTCCTATCACTTGGCACTCACTGCCATTCTTATAACTTAATCTTTAAAGTTAATGCAAAAGCAAAGATGTTTTTAGTTGGGATGGAGCAGGGAAAATTTAGACTCTTTTTAGGTTTTTATTTATGTCTTTTCAGACCATTGTAACCAAGACAGAAAGTGACACAGGTGAAGATAATAATCTAATAGGGACAAATATTTTGGTAGCACTTCTCTGAAAAGTAATTTCCCCTCAATTTATTAAAACCGTTTCTCATTTCCTGTTATTTCTCTAGGACAGAAAGTGAAGGGAAAGCTCCCCACACGAACACAAAAATAATCACACAGCAGTTTTTAACATTTTCCTACTCGATCCAAAATGCAAAAGTTAAACCAGCCTTGTAATAATTTTATATGCTTAAATATATAGCTGCAATAATCCAATGTATTCCCCTTTTTTCCTGATGTTGCTGTAAATAGCTGTGCTAACAGGATAGCTACAAGAAGATCCTGAGGGATATGGTAGGTGGGTCAGAGCAGGGGTTTCATGTAATTTCCCACAAAAAAGCAAAAACTGCTAATTAACTGTTTCACAGCAGTACTGTGGGTATTCAGGTTATAAATTGCTGTGTTTCTTAATCTATTTTATTATGTCCATGCTGGGAGGTTTGTAGAAGCATTACAGGCATATACATTGAATTGTAAAAATTATTATTTGAATATAGTAATTCTCAGTAAATCACAGTTTGCTGCTAAGCCTACCAAAGTCTGAGTCTCCCCCAGTGTAGCGGAATAGTGGAGAGGTGCAAAGCTTATATCCATCAGAGCTACCTCTGGTGAGATGTGTGTTATAAAGACTGCATATCCAAAATTCTGAGCAAACTGTTTTACTATTCTACTGTGCTTTTTTTTTGTAATTGCAAGTACATTTTTTTATTGCAATAAAAGAATAATTTTACATTGAATTACATAAATTGGTTTAGACAGACTTTACAAAGCTCTGCTCACTGGAGGGAGCCATAGCCGGTGCACCTTTCCATTATTCAGCAATAGGGAGGGGGATCGCCACAACTAATTTCATCTCCTGTTGTCAACCACAACCACAGGAGATTGGCGCAACTTCAATATGACTGTCAGTGTGGAGGTAAGTTATCAGAATTGACAGTACTGATATCCCACCACTCATGTCCTCTCACACATCTGAACTTTAACATTGTAGGAAAGAGTAGCAACACTGCAGTGATTTCACGCTGTTAAACTAAGTGCTGGTTTAAATGATCTACTGGCAGTGAGTCTACTTTGATAAAAAGAAAGTTTCCATATATTACATTACTGCTTTGGCACACTGCAGTATATACTGTATTTATTTATTTTTTTTGTCCATAATTCACTATAAAATGTTTACTCATTTTTCCATATCTTCTTTCTATACATAAAATAATGCAGGGCTATATTGTTGGTCTTTGTAATGCTTTCTTGAAAATGAAAAATGTAATTTAAAAAAATCTTAAATAATGAATCTAAACTGATATTGCACTTACATTTTAGTGAAAGGTGAGATATAGCTCTAGCATAATTTACTTGAAGTCTCTATTGTTGAATTGTCCATGGTAATGTTCCACATTACAAGACCCAGAGTCCATCAATCATTATTTAACGACTGCTTTCTCTAGCACAAATAGAAAATATCTGTGCTTTATGGAAACTAAAATGATTTAAAGTTTCATTGCTTGGTCAGCGGCTTAAGCTTTCTCTAGATGTCCCACACTCCTACTGTGCCTCAAAAATATCATCTGCCAAGCTTACTCTTCTTGAATATGTTCTTTTTTTGTAAGCAAGTGTCATGAAATGGGCAAGAAGTGTAGGAAATCCTTACAGCTTAGAATGGGCTGCCATATTAAAAAGCACTAATACCTGTATAAACTAGGTTACTTATGAATTCAGAATTTTGGCACCATTCCAAATAAAGCAAGGTCTTTATGTTATTAAAACTAGTCATACAAAATAATGGCAGTTATACATGCATACATGATCCATCCATTTAAGAATTATTTTAATTTGTCATGGCATATTGATAGTACCTTAGATTTTACAATCAAAGAGGAGGGAGCTGAACATTTCCCGAAAACTATGCCAATTATTGATTTTAGTGCAGCCTAAAGCTCAACCCTTGCAACTGGAGAGAAACATCAATTAAACGGTGAAACTGAGGGGGCATGTCCGGCAGGTTCCATGGATGGCTGTGCTCTAAAAGCTCACCACAGCACATCAGCTGACATAGCGGCCACATAACGACTTTGTTGGGTATTGTTTTGCGCTATTATATAATTTTTATGATTTGGTGTTTACACTAGTGCACAGCAGCATTTCAAATTTTAGGGGTGGGGATTGTTCTGTGGCGCAGGAGTATATATTTATTTATTTATTATTGGTGCAGACTTTAACGTTATTGGCAACCCACTTCTGGATTCCTCCACCAACAGGCGCTCCTGCAAACATAATTTCAACCGCTTTTTACACGACCATGATCTCTACGATATCTGGCGATGTCAACATAGCACATACTATTCCCTCTCTCATCTATCGTACTCCAGAATTGATTTCTTCGTCACAGATAAATGGACTCTTCAACACGTAACTTCTTCCAACATTGGTACTATAACTTGGTCAGATCACGCTCCAATCAGCATAACCTTAGACAGCAACCGACAATCCCCAATCCCTTGTCTCTAGAGACTGAACTCATCGATACTGAACAACCCTGATGATAAGAAACATTTACCAGACGCACACAACATATTTTTTGAATGCAATGACACATCTGATATTTCTATAACCACACTGTGGTCCGCTTACAAGGCATACATGAGAGGTATCCTCATACAATTAAACTCCCGCATTACTAAACCGTGAACCCAACAAATTGACCAACTCATGACTTCCATAAATCTAAAACAAGAAATGAAAAAAAAAAATCCAAGTCCCTCCACTTCTACATCCCTGGCCTCAGATAGAAATAAACTCCGAGCCCTTGTACTCTATAAATATGACCTTAACTTACAAAAAGGTAAAACAAAATTCTTCTCCTTAGGCAATAAAGCTAACTCCTTTTTAACAAAATTAATCAAACAACGATGACTAAAATCTAAAATCTCCTCAATTCAACATCCAACTACCCATATCTCTCTCACA